TATATATATATATAGTAAATTAATAGTAAAATTGGTTAAATTTCTATACTATGCATTATTGATAATTACTAGAAATTATTTAGAAAGAAAACTGTAATTGTTTGTTAGTAAATATGTAATTGAATGTGTAATAATATGTAAAAATATATTATAGAAAATTGAATAATTGTAAAAAGTAATTGAATAAAATTTAAAAATATATAAAATTGAATTAATTGTAAAGTATATGCACTTACAAATTTTTGATCTTATTATTCTATAAAACATTTAAAATTATTTTTACCCTAAAATAGTCTGAAAAAGACAACAGGTAAATAAATAAATCTTTATCTAGCATTTAATCAATTGATAATACCAAAAAATATATTTTCTACAATTTATTTCAAAATACAATTGCAAAAAAATATGATCCAAACTATCGAAATATGGTGCAATTTACAGTGTTTCTAGCTCTATGAGAAAATCAGGGAATTTTCATCGAAGCGCTTCGATAATTATTTTGGTGAAATTAATAATAAAATATGGTTTTAAAATATGTGATAACAATTAGTTAAAGTGTTAAAATTTCAAATTTTTTCGTGGTACCTTAGAGAATGGCACAAAAAGAATTTATTCCGTTAAACTAAATTTTCAGTTAAATTATCTTTACGGTTTTGTATTTTTTACTAAATGTGAGGTAGTAAGGGCTATACTTTTGAAAACCAGAATTGTATGAACGGAAAAATTACTAAACCACCTATTTCGCTTGCTTTTGCCTACTGCATACTGATGCCTATTTTGGTTTTATTAACTGAAATTATAATTTGTTCAGTAGAAATATCATTACTATATTTCTAAGGTAATTTTATTAGAATTTCGCTCTCCTAGTTAAAATTTCTTTTCCTCTCAAAATGTTTTCCTAATAAAGTTACTTTTCCTCTCAAATTAAATGTTTTGGAAAATTATCTGTCAAAAATATTCATAGAAACAATAAATCACGAAACCAACTGTAACTCAATAAAAGAGCAAACTATGTCTAGTAAAATACTTTTTATGATATATTATTTTTAAGGAATTTACATTCTGAAATATAAATATTTCATATTAATTACGACTTTTTTTGCATCACGTATCATGTGCATTTCTTAAAAACACTATGCATATTTAGTTGCTTATAAATTCACTTTAAGCACTATGTCACATAAAGGATAAACTGTGATACTTCTCTTCTGTTTGTATTTCTCATTCAACATTTTCTAACATTTTTCGAATCTCAGGGGAAGAAAGATTAACGGAAAAATGTTTTTTTAATCACAAATGCATTCAAAACTTATTAAACATGTAGTTTGTGCTTATAAATAATGAATAATGAAGAAAGACATAATCCTCCAAGCCAACAGTAATTTAGAATAATTGATATTTTTTGAAGTTTTATTGATCTAAGTTTTTATCGTTAATCTCTCTTTTCTTTTAAAAATTAAGAAAAGTTTCATTTTGATATTTCGTAATTATTGAGATAATTATCCTAACTGACATGTGAGATAATAGTACTTTCCAACTAAAGTCTCAAACTTAAATCACTTGTTTCTAGAGTGAAAGGAAGCTACCCTCCCTGAAATGCGTTATTTTCGTTTCCATAGCAGCAGACGGCCTCAGACGGCCCTTGTGGCGGGGGGAGTTCTTACGAAAGACAAACTTTTCAAAGTTCATTTCTAATTTGAAAACAATTGTTACAAACGAGCGTTAAATTAAGTAAGTTTCTGCATACTATTAATATTCATATAAAATTCATTATTATTATTTCGGCCTCAAAAAGTAGTGATCGAGAGGTGACTGGCAGACAATTTTTTAATCGCAACTTGTTATGTTTGGTCGCCCTGCCATCAGTCGCGACCATTGATTTTGCCCTTTGTATAATACCTTTTATTTCATAAGAAAAATAACTAACGCTGTGTTTTTAGTTTCTTTCTTTTGTTTGTTTGTAAGTTGTTATAAGAAAGTACGTTTTTTCCTCGCTAATATATACATGATAATTGATCATATAATTGATTTGTCATAACAATCAAATGCGCATTACTTTTTAAAATAGGAAAGATTCGTTATCTTTAATTCGATAAAATATCTTACCCAAATGTCCGTACCCAATGAGTCCCACTTTTATCACCATATTATTGAATTATTAAAATTCCACTCAACGTAGAAAGATCACGATATAGGTCAGAGAAAACTCATTTTGATAGCTCCATCATCATTTAATTCATCAAAAATTAGATAACCGAGTTGCGAACGATATTTCAATGGTTGCTAAACTATTTTATTTGACTGTTTATCGATGTTTTTGTTTAAAATAATATTAGGTAGGTTTTTTTTCTTCTTTTTACTAAAATATTACTCTCCCTGCCAAACGAATACTGATAAAAAACAGATTTAATTCATTCTACAGATATACTTTCTCTAAAATGTTTGGTGCTGCCATCTATTGTGTTTAATTAACATTTTATGTTCGGGTAAGTTGCAATTTTTTTTGAATCTTCGAAATTATAAAGTAAAGTAAATTTAATAAATAAGGTAAGTAAATGAATGAAATAAAGTAAATGATTAAAATAAATAAAATAATAATTATTTAAAAAATTGTATATCTTTTATTGTTGATTAGGGAATAACAAACTTTTTTTTAAATTTTTTATAAGCTGATTTGTTCATTTGGAGTATTACTATTTCACCCATACAAATTATGATTTGCTGATTTATTGTTTGCTATCGTTCTTCTGTCGTTCTTTTCAATTCCTATATGATGCGTGCCATAGTGGGATTGCCATAGTGACACAGATAAAATAGTATGTTTTAAAATTAAAAGTAAGACATCTTAAAAAGAATAAAGTAAACCAATTAAATAAACACTTGAAATTTTTTAACGATGACTTTGTAAAATACAAAAGGTCATCATAGTCACGGAAAATATTGAACTCACTGTTTCAAATGCTCTACCCACATTAAAGCTCGTAAATCAATAAACAAAATAAAATAGAAAATAATTTTAATCAAGGTTATATTATAAGCCTTTTTTGTTGCCAAAATAAAAAAAAAAATTTTTCAATAAGTTATTTGAACTGAAAATGTAAAAATTCATATTTTTTATACTTCTAATCAAATTTGTAACGTTCTAAAAACTTAAAATACTTTTTAACGTTCTTGGTAATTTTATTTTATGACATTCCACACAATTTTGAAAATTTTTCTGGTAAGTAATTAAAATAATTATTATTTAAGTGTATATTTAGGGCACATATTTTCGTTCATTATTGAAAAGCTGAGTCGAAGAAAGTTTCGTTTGACATTTTGATTTTAAAATATGTTTTGAACATCGGTTTATTTAGAAATCGCGTTCAAAAAATTTTAAATATTTTTTTAACGTTGCTGGTGATTTTCTATTATGACATTCGACACTATTTTGAAAATTTTCTGGTAAGTAATTAAAAAAAAATTCATGTAAAATTAGGACACATATTTCCGTTCATTATTGAAAAGCTGAGTCGTAAGTCTCTTTTGACATTTTGATTTTAAAATATGTTTTGAACATCGGTTTATTTAGAAATCGCGTTCAAAAAATTTTAAATATTTTTTAACGTTCTTGGTGATTTTAAGTTATGACATTCGACGCAATTTTGAAAATTTTCTGGTAAGTAATTAAAAACATTAATGTAAAATTAGGACACATATTTCCGTTCATTATTGAAAGACTTTGGAAGAGAAAAAAACTTGTTTGCGAATTTGGTAATAAATGCTTCAGTGGAAAAATTTCTCAGAATTTTGAGGGGAACTCTCAAATCACATTCTTTCCTGACATTTCCGTACGAAACTTTTCTTAATATGCTCTCAAATTTCGTTCAATATTTCTAGCTTTCAGAACAGTTAGTATAATATTTAAATATATTTTAATTTTAATTTAACGCGTTGAATGCCTTGTGGATCACCGGCACTGAGTTTGTTCGTAGCACTTCGCGTGTCACCGCTGACCGGCGGAGCCAAGATTACTAGAAGCACATAATTCGAGTAAATTTTGAATGCTTTAAATTTTTTTTCCATTATTATCGGTACTAAAATGGTTCAAAGAAATTAATGCAATACATACTGAGAAAATCATTTTGGCCAGACGGGCAAGTCACGTAAAATGAGCGTGGCATTCAACATGTTAATGAAATATTTTTTCATACATTAATTAATATTAATATTAATTAATATTTTATTCAATTTTTATGAATAATTTCCATTCTACATTTGAGTCCACACGTTTTATTCTAAAAATGATTTATTTATTTACTTTAAAAGACTTGGAAGTATGTTCAGATTTTATTCAATGTGTGTGAAGTTTGAAACTAGATTAAATTTCAAGTGCCAATTTATTTCATAAATTAGTTTTCCTTTAAATTTTTATAACCGTTACATTGTTATGTTTGTTACAAAGTAACTGTTATTAAAAATGAAAAGATACTAAATTTTAGACAAGCAGTAACTCTAAACATATGATTAAGAAAATGAAACAAATTTGTTTTCAATCTGAAAAGTAATAAATATACAATAATTAAACAAATCAGCAGGTTGACACCGGAAAATATGCTCTGTTTTAAATACTTTTACTTAATGTATATAAAATTAAAACATTTGAATTACTTAAAAAAGTAAAAATGAAACAAGTAAGTAATTCAAATGAAACAAATTATTTTAAATTCAATGTCATTTTCATTGAAATTTGGTTGCAAAGAAATTTTACATTTAGATAAATTTTAGAAGTGAAGTGTTTTGTCTCTGCCATGAATTTTAAGCTTTTAAATTTGAACGGTAACATCTTAAATTGCTTAAAAGCTTTGATTTGAAGAAACATAAATAATAATTGAAAGAAAAAAATAAGTTTGGCACAATTCATTATTTTTTTGTTTCTGATAAAGTAATCATTCTAAGAGAAATAAACGGAAAGGGAAAAAACAAATATTATAGTCCTTGAAAAACAGTGTTTGAAAATAAACTCTTTTTTTTATTTTTATAAAACATCTATTTTGGGATTGTTAATTTGTAATTGAGGCAAAAGTTATTTATTTACTATTTACTTATTTTTATTTATTTAATTTTTTTTTATTTATTTATTTATCTTTTTTGAAAAATCCAATATTTCAAAAAAAAAAATGTTCATCAGTATGTCCGCGGATAGGATTATTGCAAAAAAAAAAAAAAAAAAAAATAANAAAAAAAAAAAAAAAAAAATGCTAATGAATTGACACAAACTAAGCATAAATTCGAAATTTTTTTCGGAGAGGAGGGGACAAAAACGCAAAAAATAAAGCTTACGTTGATTTCGTGCCAAAAGCTTTACAAGAGCCAGTGGCTCAGGGGGTGGAGCACTTGCCTCCCAATAAGGCCACCAGAGTTCGAATCCCAGCGATGGCTTGTCGATGCGTATTCCGCATTTTGGCTCTCACCGACCGCAGTTCTGACGTTCAATATCCTCAATGGTAGACGAATCATGTATCTGTCCCCTTGCTGTCAGGCTAACCATGGGAGGTTTTCCTCTTCATGTAAAGTAAATGTGGGTTAGTTCCATCAAAATTCCCCACGAAGACAAATTTCCCACCAAGACTTGATTCAGGAGTTTATAAAAGTGAAATTTTTCCTGCAGACATCCGAAGAATAATTAAAATATATAATTGCTTCCATTTTCAGTTCAATTTAATTATAGAAATTTAATAAAAGTCTCTTTACGTTATTAAACCTCAAATTTTATACTCAAGTTACTTTTAAATGCGGGTTTTTCGTTATTGATTGGCTTCAGCGTTTATACCATTTATCTTCTAGGTTTATAATTAATTTTCTCTGTCCTGAGTTGAATGGGACATTTGTCGATGACTTTTTAATTTCCAAAAATCAGAAGTTTAATTTTCCTTTGCCCCAATTTTCATTTACGCGTTTCAAACAGGCAAGTGAGGCATTTTTTTCTTATGTATTTTTTCACGTTGACTTGCATGGTAACAATGCTGAGACGATGGAACTAGCTCAAAAATTATTAGGGCTTTATGTACAAAAAGTACAAATTTGTACTTGTACCAATAATACATCTGAGAGTGTAACCTAAGTAAGTGGGACATTGTTTCCTATGTATTATTTTACGCTGAATCGAATTCATCTATACACGCGTCAGTAAAGCAAATGGTTTAAAAGCGGTTTTATGCATAAAAAGCGCCATTTTTGTCATTGTGTTGTACACTTTTTATTTTTCTATATATGGACTATCTGAACATATAAGATACATTTTCCGATGAAATTTTTTTTTTTGCATAATTGGATGAGATAAAATTCGAGTATATGGAATAACTATATTTGAAGTTACAAGGCTTCCTTTATAATAGGTGTAATTCAAAAATAGTACGTTTTATGGAAATTAAAAAAAAATCAATATTAGCGTGTTTTTTATTCGTTTTTGGCCCCATTCAATTAAACGAGAAAAATGCATAATACTTCACTTGTCTGTAGTGCAATGTAAGACATGTTAATTAGTTGCCGTACAAGATTATACTCTTCGTACATAAAATGCTTATAACTTCTAATCGACTAGTCCGATTGCCTTGGGATTGGTCTCATAAAATTTAACGCTGAAATTGCATCGGAAAATTTACATAACGTCTTCAGATAGTTCATGGATATCTATTAATTGTATACATAAGTATGTATAAGTATAATTGTATACATAAGTATGTTTCAAAAGAAGCACTGATCAATACATAAGAACTCTTGCAATACATAGAAACAATCTTGCAATGCATAGAAACGATTCTCTCTATACAAGAATGCATAGAAACAATGTCTTACTTGTTTAAACAGCAATACCAGATGGGTAAATGGGTACAAGTACCAAATAGTACTTTTTTATCCATTAAAAAAAACCTTATAACTTCTAAACGTTTAGCCCGATCGCTTCGGGACTAGTCTCATTCAATTCAGAGGAAAAACATAAAAAGGAAAACATGCTTTACTTGCTTGTCAAGACGAAATTCCCCACAAATCTCCACTATTTCCTTCGAAAAAAAAAATAGGAAAGCGATCAGAGGAAAGTAGGGGAGTTTTTAATTATCATTCATAATAACATAGAATAGCTTTCTATAGAAAAAAATATCAGACTTAATATGTTTCCGAAGAAAAAATCTAATTTTA